CCCCGCGCGCCCGGCCTCCGCGCGCCGGCCGCTCTCGCTGCGAAGTAGGACACGGCGCCATCTTTCCCCGGCCGAGCTGCGGGAGAGGAGCGGGCGCGGGGGCGCGCGGCGGCCTCGGCCGAAGCCTTCCCCGAGCGCGGGCAGAGCCGGGCCCGATCCGCCCCGGCAGGCGCCGCTGGGTGGCTCCCGGCCGCGCGCTGCGCATAGACCGCGGCGCGCCGCGAAAGCCTGGGGCAGGTCGCCTCCCTCCGTGGCGTGCGAGGCGGCGGCTGGGGAGGCCGCGGCGGCGCGTCCCTGCCCGAGGGCGGCGGGGCGGCGGCGCTGGGGCGGCTCGGGCAGCCCCCGCCCGGCCACCCGCCCCTTCCTCCCCGCCTGGAACCCGCCGCCCGCCAACGTGAGCGCACATGACTGCCAGCTTCCAGGGGCTGCCATTTTGTCACTGGTGCCACCGGCGGGCGGGTGGCGAAGGCGCGCGGCCCAGACCCGCAGCCCCCGGGAAGGCCCCCCTGCGCGCGCCTCGCGGTTGGCCCCCAGGGCCGGGGCGGGGCTCCGGAGGTGGGCGGGCGGGGCTGCGGCCAGGTGGGTGCCAGAGCGGCTCTGCAGGACCCTTTCGGCCGGGTCCCCCTTTCAGCTGCCGCTTGTGAGCTCGGCCGTCGTCCGCCTGGGCAGGGCTGCCCGTTGATTTTTTGCCCCTGCGGGGAGATGTGCACCGGTGTGGACCTCCAAGGAAGTCTCTTCCCTGGTGAGCTGGGCATCCCGCTTCCCTTCACCCAGACCCCCTCGGTTGTGTCTTCCGGGCAGTTCTCTTTGGAAGAGGCAACTGCCTGCTGTCAGGCCGCCTCCAGGGCCGCCATCCACATGGAATTGTGCTTCCAGCCTGCCTGGCTTCCTTGTGATTACTGAGAGCAACACCAAGAGTGCGTGTGTGTTCCTTGGCCAGCCTTTGAGGGGAAAATTAGATCTGCCTCCTCCAAAATATTGTGCAAGAACAAGGGTTTCTTGTGCCGGTGATAACTTCAGGGTGGACCGTCCCTTGCACTGGCCGCCCTTCCAAGCCTCTTAAAATGCCCCCTTTGTAATGTGCTGCCAACGTGGTGCACCGATGGAGCGCTGCGGCGCAAAGCCCCGCGAAGGCCCCCCAGTTTTATCAAGAGGGCCTCACGTCACTTTCCAGTGCCTTAGCATTGTATGGGATCCTTCCTGAGCGGAGATGCAGTTTCCCTTTTGTCACAGAAAACAGTTGCCCCGGTCACAATGAAAGCCATAGTTAATGTATTAAAGACGTGGTGCTTCAAAGAGGGACAGGGCGCTTTGACTGGGCCAGGCACCAACCCACCGCCCGGCCTACCTCATCTGCAACAATACAATGGAGTTGCGTTAGGGTTCGGGTGTCCGCTCTTGCAAGAGGAAAAAGGTGGGGTGTAAGTACAGAATACAACTACTGATAAGAATAGTCTCTTTCTGCTCACAAGGAACTTCCTAGGAAGTAGGGCATGGGTCCTCAAACTGTGGCCCGCGGGCTGGATCCGGCCCGCCATGCCCGTTTATCCGGCCCGCCATAGCTTGCCACGCTCGCAAGGAGATAGTTTTGACTCGATCGGCGAAAAGGATCTCCTTGCAAGAAAGCTGCTGCTGGGCAAGGCACCGGCTTGCTCGCAAGGAGATCGTTTGGAGGGAATGATCTCCACGTGCGCCCCCCCCCCCCCGCACTGCCTTGGCGGCCCCACCCATTGCTGGCACCTTTCACTGGCCCCTGTTCAAAAAGTTTGAGGCCCCCGGAAGTAGGGGGTGCCTTGCTAAGCGCCCCTTTCCATACGGAAGTCTTTTAAAAGTCCAGAACAAGGCAGACTTACTTTCAGTAAAACTTGAGGTGATGATGATAAACTTTGGGGTAATCTTGGTACTGCTTCTGGGGTTGATGCAGGGACTATTTTGCGGAGTTCCTCTGTGATAGGACTCGGTTTTGGGTGCCGAGCGACGCTGGAGCTGCTGGTTGCTGTGGAGTGCCCTGCCTGGGATGCGCCCCACTGCACTCGGCGGGAGGGCGGCTCCGGAGTGGGGAGTGCGCTCTGGCCCGTGCAATCCCATGGGTTTCACTATAGAGTTTGGTGGCTCTTCCTGAACTGGATATGGCGGCTTTCCCAGCACGGTTGGGGATTGTAGTTCAGCCAGGCTGGTTCACTTGCTGGAGTTCTACCCTCCGGTGAGTGGCCCTTTTTCTGCTAAAATTAGGCAGAATTTGCATAAGCAAGTCACATATACTCGGCATTTCCTTCAGGACACCCAAAGTCAGTGATCCACAAGCATCGTTTCTTTAGGACTTTAAAAGCTTATATCCGGTATCCTGCCTCTTTCCACCAGGTGGACTCAAAGCAACTCACAGCATAAACATCCTAAAAGGATACCGATTATGGGCCCAAACCAGTGTATTGAAAAATAGGATGGAAGCAGCTGGGAATACCAGAAGCATCCAAGGGGACATAACAGGCTGGGGACCTTCAGTCAAGGGGGGTCTTCCTCAGCCAGCGTTCATGGGGTGCCCGGAAGGGTGCAGTGGCTGGGCTTGAAGCTCTCACTGGGAAGGTGGAAGTGGCTGCAGGAACCGCCTCCTGGCACTCGCTTGCCGTGCCCCTGGAGTCGGGCTGGCCAGTTCAGGGGGGCGCTTGTGGAAGGAGCTGGTCCTTCAGCCCTCCAAATGCCAGACAAGCCAGGGTCATTCTTCATGGTGTGCATAATGAGCTCCATCTCCCTCTGGAGCTTGGAGCTAGATAGGAAGCAGGTTGGCAGCACTGCCAGTGGGCTTCACGCAGCTCCTCCAAAGTCCAGGGGGGCGTAAGAGATCAGGCCTTGGTCCTTCTCCCGCTGGGGAAGGACTGTAGTAAATGTGGACTTTGCCTGGATGCTCAGGTCAGACAAGCTTGGTGGACCTTTGTCCAACATGAGTGTATGCCGTAGCTAGTTCCTGCCCAGAAAGTAAGACAATAAGGCAAAAGAGGGTATTCTCGGACTAGCTTCTGCTAATATCGAAGCTCTCCTAAGCTGTGGCACTATTCCTTCCTCCTCTGATTTTTTACAACCCGTTCTGAGGAACAGCGCTTTGACAACTGCACATGCTGGCATGACATTTTGGTTGGCCCTAATAAAAAGTATTTCACGAGACTGGGTTTTATTTCTGCAGAAGTGGCTCGTGGGCAAGCGAGCTGGAAGACTCTTCTATCGCTCTCTCTGTTTAACAACGTGCAAATCGATTTAACAATGTGTGATTGTCTTAAGAATCAATCATTTTGTTTGAGCCTATATTCTTGCTTTCAGAAGTAGCGTTTTGTGGCAGGCGAATTAATTCTGCTTCTGAGTCGTTTTGTTCAGACAAGAATTAGCCCGAACCCACACAGATAGCTTGGGTTCAAATCACCGTTTGTCCAGGGGACAGTGGATAAACCTTACCATGTTGCTGATTGCATCGCCCCTTATAATAATAATAATAATAATAATAATAATAATAATAATAATAATAATAATTCTGCACGTGATTAATAATAGTGGGCCAGTGTCTAAATATGGTGGCAGGGACAGTGCGATCCATGGTAGATACTTGTAGAGAAAGAGACTGTGCCGCTATCGATGCATGTCATGACTTTTGGTCATATTCAGCCAAGCTGGGTGATTCCTCAAGGGGGAGGGGGGCCCTTTCATTGTGACTACATGTATTTCGGGGCAAACCCTGGCCCCCGTGAGAGTCCGTGTAGCTTCTGCAGAAGCGCGAAGTAGTTTTCTACCTGTGGGAGGCCACGCTGCGGGAAATGAGCTGGTGTCCACCAAATGCTCATGGCTGCAGGAGGAGGAGTGCTGCCCTGCAGAAAGATTTCTTCGTCTGCAGCTTAATTGCCGTGTTGCTCAGGTTCACATTATGCAGATGGACTCAGTTGTGTGAGAGAGGTGCAGCTTAATAGTGCGGTTTTCCGAAGTGCAAGACACAAGAACAAGATAGTGAAATATTTTTTAAGAACGAAGGTCTTCGCCAGAAAGAGGATAAGGAAGGCACCAGGCGAATCTCCGTGAGGAGAACAGTCCAACTATGGGGAACAGCTGCAGAAAGGCCCTCCGAGCAGCATCCCTTGCATTTCCCAAGGGGATTCCTTCAGATGCTCCTAAGGACAGACCTGAGGGCTGCCTGCTGAGATCTGGGCAAAGCTGAGCCTGGGACCAGCCTTCCCCAACCTTGGCCTGTCCAGACACCTTTGGACTGCAACACCCAGAATCCCCAGTCTCTCTCACCTGCTGGGTGAGAATTCTGGGAGCTGCGGTCCAAGTGCAGGTTCGGGAAGGCTGTGCTGTGCGTTCCTGGAGGATCACGGCTGTGGAGGCAGCACTGCTGGTCCCCCTCTCTGCTGGAGTGGGGTGAACCATGCTGGAGGAGCTTTGATCCCTGCGGTGCTCGGGGGCCCTCTTTCAGCCCGAGGGCCTAATTCAGTTTTGAAGATGCTGGGGGTCATGGAGGGGGCCAGAAGGGAAAGGGTGGGCTGAAAATGCCAGCATCTTTGGCGTAAAGTTCATGCTGTGGGCACCTAGCAGAGGCATTTCAGAATGGGGAACGTGTGCAAGAAGGCCACCAAAAGATTAGGGTGGGCAGGGGGAAGGGTCTGACCGCTTGGGGGACCCTGCAGGGCCAGAATGGAGTGTGTTGGGCCAGACTTGGCCCATGAAGCCCCCCTCCTTACTGCAGCAAATCCCATCTTCCACATAGAGTGGTAAAATTAGGTCTAACTACAACAACACTGCAAAATAGGAGAGCAGCGTTAAAACAGCATAAAATAGCGGCATGAGTATAATATTGGTGCTGTGGCAATAGGAAAATACTTGCTAAAACAGCTCCGGAAAATTATCCAAATGCCAGCTGGAATAAGGACATCCTGAAGGATCTCTTAATGAATTCTGAATACAAGACAGCATTAAAACACACACAGGAAGGAACTGAAATAGGTAGGACGTGCAGTAGGATGAAAAGGTTTAATTGCCCTCCCAAAGCCCGCCTGCCCAGTCTTGGGGAGGTGTCCCCCAGCACGAGGGCACCAAAAAGACCCAGCAGAACCCCGGCCAAGAGTTCTCCCTGCAACAAGCTTCCAGACCGCTGGCGTTGGCCGGAGTCTGCTCCCCGGTCGGAGCAGGGCCCGTTGCCCTGGCTCGTCTCTGGCCCCGGCACTGAGGGAAGCCCGTGTGGAACTGGGAAGCAGCCGGCGGAGCCGAGAATTCCTCGGCCGCTGCGGGGTGCTCGGCGCATTCCTGTGCTTGGCCGGCCGGCCGACGTGCGCACGCTGTTCCGTTTCTCTCCAACAGCCTCCTTTTTGCTGAGGCAGCAGGGAGGGCCTGGCGCGCCTGATGCAGCGCTCCAGCCATCTGGCTCCCGACCGCCTCTGTGCATGGAGGGAGGGGCTCCTTCCGCATCGAGGGCCGCGGGTTCCTGCGAGACACAGCCGTCCTCGCCGCTGGCTCGATCTGACGTGAATTCCGCACCGACTGCTCGCCAGGTAAGCCGTGCTGAAGAGCGGCTTGCCCTGCCAATGGAACGGCGCAGCGGCCGCGCCGAGTCCTGCCCGGTCGGTGCCATTGTCAAGCGGGGATGAGGACGTTGTGGCTGGAAAAGGGAAGCGACAGGCCCCTGGTTTTGGAAAGGACGGATAACCTGCCTTCTCTGGAGGCATGGTGGGGGCCACAGCCTGCCGCGGCCGCAGCTGACAGCGCTGAGCCGTACGCCATTTTCGCGGTGACGCAATTCCCCATGTGCGGACCCAGCTGTCCGACACCCTCCCCTGGGTCTTGGGGAAGAGCCTGCATCAACAGGTTTTTTTACCCTTTAAGAAGCCGCTCGGCCGGTCTTTTTCTTGAAGGGGACCAGGGGGAGTCAGGGCAGCGTTAGTCTCGCCCTCACCAAGACTCCTGGTTGGGGCCGCTGAGAGGACGGCTTGCCGGTCCCTCTTGAAGGCCCAGCTGGGCATTGCAGTCCTGTTGCAACGAGCTCTCCAGATTTTGATGGAAAGCAGGAGTGAGAAGATAGGAATAACAATGCAGGATCAGACCACAGGCCTCCTGAGTTCAGACCTCTGTTCGACAAGTCCTGCTCGCGTTTTTTCCGAAGCAAAGGCATTGTTAAATGTGCAGCCCTGCAAATATGTTTCCGCAGCCCTTCCGTGGTTTTAGTTGCTCTATTCTGCATTTTTTCAAATTTTCAAGTTGCCCCATCAGTTTGTCAAAGGGGGATATGCTGGTGGCCCCTTGATTTTGGATTCCCTTTTTGGTCCAACGTGGAGTGGGCCATTTTCACCGCATCTGTGCACTGGGTCAACATGTTCATGAAGCTGCATCCACTCGCAGGTCAACATCCCTTAGTCTCGTTAGGGATACACCGAACCGAAGCTGCCATGCTTCAAGTCAGCAAGCAGAGGGGTCTGGTGGGGGGGGCAACTTGGGGAGTTCTGGTGTCATTTTGCACACTTGCACCGGGTTGGGGCCATCTGCCAGGTGGGCAGAAGGTGGCTTTTTTTAAAAAAATAAGCTAATTCTGACCTTGTGGGTACTCTGTGGCGCCATATCCCATTTTCCCCATACATGCATTTGGGAGAGGGGGGCTGTGGGGCTGCCTGTGGGCCCCACTTTTAAACCCTTTCCAACCCATGTTCTTTGCAGTCACACAAGGTGTTTGACCCTGTACCCTAATAATTCCTCAAAAATAAACTAATTTAGACACCTTTCTATTTGTCCTGGCATCCAAATGAGGAAGGTGTTTGTTTCCTCATGTTTTTGCATTGTAAGCCACTTAGGAAGGCTTCGGCAATTATAGGCGGCCTATAAATATATGTAAATAAAATAAAAAATAAATAAAATATTAAATTTGTATAAAAGCTGCCCCATTAGCATTATGCTCTCTGGGTGGCGAAAGAGGTGAGGTTGGCAATAGCAAGAAGAAGCGGGAGCGTCTGCAGCCTCGGTCACAACGACCAGAGGAAACCCTCTGCCTCAGGATAACCTGCAGCCACTGATTTTGGGGCGTTGCCCCTGCTCTCCGTTTATGCTGCAATGTGAAATTATGCCTGGAAGGCAAACTGGGTTCGGGCTGCGCTGGGGGGCTCAGCGGCCTGTTTGGAGAAGGAAGAGAATCCGCAGTGGGATTTCTCCCCCGCTTGAGTTCTGCACTGCCTCGTTCTGATCGTCTTGCTGGTCCGGAAACCATCCTTGCTGGCTTTGGATGGCCCAGCAGCCTGGTGCAGTGGGAAGAATCATGGGCAGGAAACAGGCTCGGGGCAAGAGGAAGACGGCTCCAGGGCCTGAGAACCCCGTGGGGCTTCCTGATCTTCCACATCTTTTCTGATCTCATGATTACTTGGCTTCTGCAAACCTCACTAAGCTTCAGGCTTCTGTGAGAGTGCCAGCGTGTGGACAGGTAAACTTTGTTTACTGGGACTTGAAAGGGCTTTTGGCCAAGTCCCTCACCAGAGATGGCTGAGCAAGCTCAGCAGCCACAGAAGAAGAGGAACAGTAATGGGTTGAAGGACTGGAAGCAGAGAGGGGGAAGGAACGGCGGCTTCTCCCGGTGGAGGCATGTGGCTGGTGGGCTTGCACCTACGTGAGGATCGCTGCTTTTCACCCATTCATGAAGGGTCTAGGAATGGGAGGTAGCGGTCGGGATGGGAAAGGTGCCCTCTAAAGCCACTCTTGCCAAATGTAAGCAGCAGGCACAGGCTTAGACCCTCACGTGCCCTGGGGTGTGAGGAGGAGCCTGGGACATGGGTCCAAAGGTGCCCCTCCTTGGTTGGTCTCCCGGGGTCGTCAGGTGGCCCACTTCTGTCCATGGGCCGAGACTTAACTTTGGTCTTGGGAAAGTGAGGTTAGATGAGCGGTGAACAGAAGGTGGATCTCCAGATGTTCAGAACTTCAACTCCCAGAAGCTGCGGACCACCCGGCTAATGAGCCCAAATGCCTGGGGTCAGTCCAAAACATCTGGCAAGCGCCATCCTGACCACCCTGGTGTCAGCTAGTCCCGTCAGATGTTGAGGTTGCACTGAGATGAGTTGTTTGGGAGAGGCCGGTGTGGTTTGCAAACCTGGCTGCCGAGGCACCGAGGCACCAGCGAAAGACGAGATAACCAGATCTTTATTTCAATTCTTATCCACAGGTTAAAGAGCTTGTTCTTGACAACTGCAGGTCAAATGAAGGCAAAATCGAAGGCCTCACAGATGAATTTGAAGAGCTGGAATTCTTAAGTACAATCAATGTTGGCCTCACCTCAGTGGCAAACTTACCAAAGTTAAACAAACTTAAGAAGGTAGGTGCAAGTTCTGCTCCCTGGTTTTTATAATGAAAAGTACTATCTTCTAAAGTGTGTAATTAGTTTTGCATGTCCAAAGGCTTTGATCCAAATAGATAGGTCTCCTTGCAATAAAAGATTAAATCGGAATTACAGATCTTTGTTAGGGGATCTTAATGATCAACAGGAGTTTCATAATGCGATGAGATTTCTTGACCTTACGGTTGCTCGCACTCCACACGTGCCCTTCGTGGCTTCAGTGTCCTCTCTCAGGCTCAGCCACATCCCCTCTCTTTCCCTTGCCTTTTCTTAAAACCTTCGCCCCTGGACTGACTTTTCTGTGCACTCCTGGACTTAGGCCCACGGCTCTGCGGCTGATCTCTAGGCATCACCTCACCTCCTTTGGCATCCCATGGAGCCTGCCCTCCGTTCCTGCCCCTTCTCTGCCCGCCAGTCCATGGCTCTGGGGGTCTTTTTCAGACACCGGTCCTCTCCTGTGGCTCCTTTTCCCTTGTGCCCCCTCACTTGGCCTTGGCCTTCAGCCCTGGGCACGTTTGCCCCCTCGCCCAAAGAGTGCATCCTCCACGCTGCCTTCGCTTTCGTGCATGCAGCTTCACCCCTCCGAGGCGAGCAGCGGGTGTCCTGTCTTCGCAGGACCATTTCCGTCTCCTCTGCCACCTGCCTGGACGGGCATCATGGGTGCACCTTTCCAAACCATGGGAATCGTCCACACACCTTCTCTGCCCTGGGAACCTGCTAAGCCCTGGCCTGGTCCCCACTTTCTCGCGGCTCCAAGTTGGTCTAAAATGGAAGCCATCTGCTCTGGCTGTACTCTGTGCCCCGCCCCCCGGTCCCCACCTCTTCTTCCCCGCCAGGTTTGATGCATCGATTAATCTGCTGGCTTTGCCAAACGCCGGCCTGGGCCACCCCGAGCCCCTCCGCCTCTTTCCCGTTCCCCGTCTGCCTGCTCCTGCCGCGACTCCTCATCCTCCTCTGCTCTCCTGCCTTGGCTTTTCACTGTCGTCAGTCACGCCGCTGGCTCCCTAGTTCCCAAAAGCCCACCCCTCGGCGCTGGGGCCCCCAGGGTGGCACCCGTGGCCAGCAATGGGGGCAAGGAGGAGAGGACCGAGGAAGCGCTGCGGGAGCTGGCAGTGGGGGGGAGCAACACCCATTGGCTTTGTCTGCGTTTTGTGGCAATTCAGCCCGGAACGAACTGGCCCTGTTCCTGCTCGATGTGGGCAGGCTGCCCAATAATGCGAAGGTGCAAAATATTTTTACTGTGGCGCAAAAGTGAAGTGAGCGACGCAAAGTGAGCGGGCAGTTGTTGCCGCCTTGCAGTGAGGGGCCCGTGCAGCCGCTGCCTCCAGAAGCCGCGTCCGGGCAGCTGCTGAAGGGCGCCGCCTGTGTGCCGCTCTGAGCATTCCTGGGCGGCCCCAGCACTGGCTGGGGAGCACGTCCAGCAAAAGGCGTCACGAAGGGCCAGGAGGCAGCAAACCACTCCAAGGCCAAGGCTGTGCAGAAGCAGCCGTCCCAGTTGGGTTCTAAAAGGAACCCCGGCTGTCAGCATCCCCTGAGCCCCACTGCGCCCCATATTCCAAAACGTAAGGCAGGTGGGTCAGCCACAGCGCCGCCTAGACCCGGCTGTCCGGCAGCTCGGTGCCTGGGCACAGGGGACTGGTCAGGGAAGCAGCCAAGAGGCGAACGGCAACTCTGAAGGAGCCCGAGGGGTCTGCAGCTGAGGCAGGGAAGCCCTTTGTGGCGTTGCTGTCACCTGGAGGCTCCACAGAGCAGAGGGGTGGAAGAAAGACCCTGCTGAAAGAATCCGACATCAGAGCCGGTTGGGAGTTTGCCAAACGGCATGCGGGAGACACAGCGAGCGTGGGGAAGGTTCCCTGACGAGACCAAGGCCGGACTCTGGGGCCTCGTTGCAGAGCGCTCTGTGTGGCTCAGAGCCAACGGTGTGCCTGGCCTGAGAAGACCGTTCTGGTGGCACCGGACGGCAGTGGGATGGCCAGGAGTGGGGGAAAGCTGGGTGGAGCCAGATACAGGGGGGCTACAGGGAGGGCATTCATGGGATCCGGGACTGGAGCAGATGCTCCCCTCCCAGCAGGACAAGACCCTAAATGGACAGCCAGAGTCACAGCAGAATGGCTTAGAGAGAGGAACCCAGACATCATGGAATGACCCTGACTTTCATCCTATTATCTGGAGGAGTTTTGCCGGGAAGAATGGGCAAACTCCAGGATCCAGCTGTGCAACGTCAACAGGGCATTCCCAAGAATGTCCCTGCTGCCCACGGTGCCAGGGGGCACACACTCCCGCCCCCAACACTTCGCTTTGGGTTACTTTGCTTTGGTGCCTCATTAAAATACTCGGTGCCTTCAGTAGGTCGAGCATCTTGTCACACTGCGTGGTAACGATGCCGGTTCAGTCCCTGTTCCAGTTCGTGATGCAACCCGGCAGGAGGGTGGGGTGTGCGTCGAACGGGGCACATGTCAGTTTCGCGGTGCTCGTTTGGCTTTCTCAAACCAGAACCAACCGCTCTCCCCCTCAGCTCGAGTTAAGCGACAACAGAATCTCGGGCGGACTGGAAGTGCTGGCGGAAAAGTGCCCAGCCCTCATGCATCTCAACCTGAGTGGCAACAAGATCAAGGACCTCAGTACGATAGAGCCGCTGGTGAGTCTGCGGCGGCGGGGGCAGCATGCCGGCGATGTCCCCGGGGAGGACACCCCAGGCGGCTTGCTGCCCTGCCCCGCCTCTTCCTTTCCTGCCCGTGCACCTTCTTTGTAGCCTCAGCAGAGGAGTCAGGGTGGTTTGCAAGGAGAACCCGCAAGGGACGGGAGCGTAAGCAGAGTGGAGCTGTGCAACTGCAGAGTTTCCCTGTTGTGCCGCTTGCGATTTTGTCCTTTTCCCCCGGGAGCTGGCAGCTGGGCGCTTTCCCGGGAAAGGCCTCTCTCCGGGGGCACTGGCCCATTTTCTGCCCTTCCCTCTCGGCTCGAGGAGGGCAGAGAGTCCCTGCTGCAGGGGTGGAGTCAGTCCAACATCCCCAGTGGTCCCGAAGGCCCCGGGTCCGCACCTGCTCATTGTGGCCCAAGGCGGCACAGCAGGCGTGGCACACGCCCTCCGGTCCCTGCGGTCGGGCGGATTTTCAGGGTTTGTTGCAGAGTCTCCCAGAAGTCTGGTGCCCTGGCTGAAGCTTGGCCACAAGACTGTAGTGGCTGCATAGGACTACAGGTCCCATCTGACTGGGATGAGAGTTGTAGTCCCACATGCCTGGAGAATAGGAAAATGCAAGGGCCTGCAGTATCCGGAGCAAGCCCTGTGAGTCGCCCTTCGGGAAGGCCAGACACGCCGCTCCTCTGCCTCCGGATCGCCTTTGCTTTTTAACAGATCGGAGTATTTGTGCGTGGGTGGCATTTTCCTCTGATGCGTGCATCTCGGGGGTGCGGGCAAATCCCTTCCTTTGCTTTGCCTTCCAGGAAAAGTTAGAAAACCTGAAGAGTTTAGATCTTTTCAACTGTGAGGTGACTAACTTGAACGACTACAGAGACAACGTCTTCAAACTGCTCCCGCAGCTCACGTACCTGGATGGGTATGACCGGGATGATAAGGAGGCCCCCGATTCCGACGCAGAGGGCTACGTGGAAGGCCTCGACGAGGAGGAGGAGGACGAAGACGGTACGTCCCTTCGGCCTTTGCCTTGGCAGCCTAGTGGGGACCAGCTGCCCAGCCCACTTGCTTTTGGCTCGGGAGGGCTGAGTCCAGCAAACGCAGTTGTCCTCAAGTTCTCACCTTTCCACGGGGAAGCCTTCCCCATCCTGCTTCCCCATCAGATTTTTGTCCTGCACTAATATTTGTGTGCATGCATGCACATTTAAAAAAATACACACCTTGTGTATGCATTTTTCCGAGCTTGTGCATTTTTGGCAAGCAAGTTTTACTGGCCCTGTTTTCCTTCTGTGCCTTCTCCCAAACTATCCATTTTCACGCCTGGCTTGAAGGTGCATCCCTCCCTGGAACTGCACCTTTAACCGTCGAAAGAAGTATGAATTTCTCCGTGTGGGTGGCATTCCAGTTGCAGTTCATGCTCTGTTTGGATGATGTCCAGTTGCAGACCAGTTTCTCGCTCACCTTTGTCCTTGAGACCATGAAGGCTTCAGCTGCCAGCTGGGGTTCGTGTGCCTACTTTGGTGAACTTCTCACATGAGCCTAGCAGAGCATCGGGCAGCATCTTTCCCCACACATTTGCCTCCTGCTAAACCCAGGTGCATCAGGCTGCCTGCTGTTTCGGCGATGGGCAGGAGCCCAGGGAGTTTGAATGAAAAAAGGCGTTACTCCTGCAAGAAGGGCATGATGAGAAGCGGCACCCCATGCAGAGCCACTTCTGGCCACAAGAGGGGGGAAAGGAGCCTCTGCTGGTGGCCGTAAACTAACCAGACCGGTTTGCCTGCTTTTTGTAGAAGAGGAGGGTGATGAAGATGCTCAGGTCATAGAAGAGGAGGAGGAGGAAGATGAGGAGGAAGAGGGAGAAGAGGAGGATGTAAGCGGGGAAGAGGAGGTAAGAATCTTGTTGGATGGGGGGAAGTAAAATGGCAGTCATGCATCTGAGACAAGGCTGGCGGGATCTCGGATGCTCCCCCCCATCCACACTGTGGTGGTGATTTTTGGCCGTTTAGAATTAAGTTCTAGTTAAAATCAGCACATTAGAATTAAAGTTCTGATTTCTGAAAGGCTTTGTGAGTTTGGAAAAGTTCTGGGCAAGAGTAAAGTGTGCCATTCCTTTCTTGGTGGCTCTGTCCAGGAGGATGAAGAAGGCTATAACGACAGGGAAGTAGATGACGAAGAAGAGGAGGATGAAGAAGCCGGTAAGCACAGCCCCGTGTCAAGGAAGGATCCGGGATGCTGTCCCGTCCAGCTGAGTCCCGCAGCCAAAGGCACACAGTGCCCCGTGGCGAATTCGGGGTGCCCTCTTGGACAGCAGCAGGCTGACAAGGGGCAGGCGAGGAACCTCTCTGGGTGGAGAAGCTGCCGCATCCCCTGGTTTTCAGCTTCCCAGACTTTGGCTGCATCGGCGTTCCTGCCATCACAGCCGGCGTTCGCGGGGGCTCAGCACAAGCAGCGCCGGGAATGGTGGCTGGCACACCTGCTTGCCAGTGTGTGGCCGGGCTTTTCCCCGGACTCGGCTCTCTTCCTCCAGGGAGGATGAGCACCGGGAGAAGACTGTTGAGCGGGCATGCACCAGGTTCTGGAGAGGCTTGGCACATCCCAGCGCGAACGCCTTGACTGTTGCACCCGGAGGCTGCTTCCCCTGGGATCAGCACCTCCGCAGTTTATGGTTTCTTGGCCAGGCTCTTGGCGTTCGTTTGCCGACTCTGTGGTTGACCTCAAGCCAGAAAGGGAGGCCGTGGTCTCCTCCTGCCGCTTGCGGCTGTTGACTTAAAATATTTTATTACAAATTATTCTTATTTGGGGAAAGCAGTGTGCAAAATATGAAGCCGTTTCGGGCTCACTTTGCGCAGGCCTGCTGTGGAAGGGTTTGAACAGAAGACATTCAGCAGGCAAGATTAAATTCCCGTGTGCAAGCCTTCCCCCGAGGGTGGGTGGCGAAAGGCCTGGGGCCAAACCAGTCCCCCTGGCCCCTGGGGGATCCAACATGAGGACGGGGTAGCTGCCTGTGGGTGGGAGATGGGGAGGGGCCCTACAGATGTGTCCCCGCAGAATTGGCCCAAGCTGCTTCAGAAACAAAGACTGGAGCGGTCCTGGGGTGAACCATGAAGAGGACGGGGCGGGGCAGGTCTGTAACAATCCCCATCCGTCCTTCCGTCCGTCCATCCTTCCTTCCATCCTTCCTTCCACAGAGGAAGAGCGGGGCGAGAAGAGAAAACGAGAGGCTGATGACGAGGAAGGCGATGAAGACGACTGAAGTGGCTATACTCTATCTCGGGGTCGGGGGACAAATTTCCTATTGTGATTTGACTGTTCCTATCCTGTATTTCACCCCCTCCCCTCCCGTTGCTGTGGGGTTGAGAAGGAAGTGGATAGTTGTGCGGGTGAGGGAATTTAATCTTTTTTTAAGAACTGCCACTCCTGCTTTTGTTTCTGAAGAATTTCCTTTTGTGTCTGTTATTAGTTCCTGTCAATGCAATAGCAAATATAAAGCAAGTGGTGGATTTGTTTTTATTTTTATTTTTTTCTTGGAGTGGAACATCTATACACTTTGGGTTTTTTAAGGAAAGTTTTTTTTAAAGGTTTGAGCAAGAAGATTTCCATGTGATACAAAGGGGGCAGGAATGGAGATGGTGGTGAGATCTTTTTGGGTCCGTAGAATCAGTGGCTTTTGCCAGTCTCTGAGCATATTGTAAGTATTTTTTTTCTTCTCTTCTGGATGCAGCAAAGTTTGCCGTGAAAGCATTCCAGCCAGAGCAGTGAAGTGCAAACAGCATCTTGATAACGTGTTTTCTTTGTTGCCTGTTTGTGAATGACTGCTGTTCCCAGAAACCGTTTCTCTCCATTTCCCGTAGGTAACTTTTTACTTTGTCGTTTGTAAATAGTGACCAAATACGTAATTTCCCTCCCCTTCTTTCTTTTTTATTTGGTTTGTGGGGTTGATTTTCATTTTTTTATTTTGTTTTCTCTGTAAAACCCTTTTGGAGCTTGGCCCACCCAGAGGGTCTCCACAAAGCGGGGGGGATGCATGGGCAGGACAGCTCATGTTCCCGGGGGGGGGGGGGGGCGCAGCCTCTGTGGAAAAGTTCTCTGTAAACGGCAGTTATTAAAATATCTATAAATATATATAAAAAGTGTTCCTAATTTCCTGAGTTAACTGGTGAAATGAATTTGACAGTTGTAATAAAAAAAGAAAATGTTTGAACCCTTTTAATTAAGGTGTGTACTATTTTGGTCTGTAAAATATTATATATATAAATATATTAACACCTCCTTGATATTAAGTGACAAGAATCTGTTTCCATGTGTGCGTTACACTACCCTGGAGATTTTTGCAAACCTTTTGAACAGCAGAGGGGACGATGTGTGTCTGGCCCGGGATGCTTTCTTTTCATACACTCAAGCACGGAATGCGGATACAAAAGATGTATTTTCTTACCTATTTGCAAGTCAGTAAACCGGCTGCAAAGTACCTAGGTGAATGTACAGTTTTAATTTCATATCCTTTTAAAAAAACATTAGAAGTGACTTGTATTTCCTAGTCAGTATCTCCTCTGTGTATAAAATTTTTTAAAAAAACATCACAATCTTCCCTCTCACTCCCCAAAGAGTAAAACTTTTTGAGTTTTATGTCTTGTTTGTCAATGATGAATTTCAATAAACCTTTTTTATACAATTTTTTTCCTGTGGCTTATTGGAGTAAAACGGGCCACATGGGGGGTTGTTTTTGCCGAGGGTTTTTTTTAAAAAGCCTATTTTGGATTATTTTTAGCACCATTTCAAGCATTCTTTCAAATCCCCCATTATAGCTAAATGGATCCCCCGTGGGGAGAAGCGGTGGAGTCTTCCACGCTGGGGGTGGCCACGTGTGGGACCCGCTCCAGCCCGCTCTCCGTGCCCCCCCGCTCGGCTTTGCAAGGCACGAGCCGGCCAGGGGCTGGGGCTGGGGCTGGGGCTGGGGCAGCTGCTCCGCCAGGCACCGAGGAGGGGCGGAGGGGCCGCCTCTGGGCTGGCAGGAGCGGCCGTGCTGCTCCCAAGCCTGCTCGCGTGTTCTCTGCGCGAAGATCGGACCCGTTCGCCCCCGTCCAGGCCTCGGGGTAGCGGGATGTTGGTCCCTTGTCCGAGGCGTCAGGACCTGAGAGCTCCGTCGTCGCCACGCCGTCTTCCTCCTCCTGTCTCTCCTCTAGATTCCCACCTCACACAGAAGGCAAAGGAGACGTGAACCGGCTTGGTAACTTTATTTGTTCACTACTTGTATGGCAGCATAAATAATAAGCACGTGGGTGGGATGGCACGGGAGGGGAGGTCAACGTTAGGCACCGAGCGCAATGCGATCCTTAGCGTCAGGGCAGGGAGGTGAGAGGGAGGGAAGTGGGGTGCTTGTCCCCCCAGTGCTTGGGGGCCAAGCGAGCGTCTGAGGGGTGGGGGGGGACTCTTGGGGCACATGTCTTGTCCCTTCTTGCAGCCTGGCCCGATGCGGAGGACAAGCCCACCTCGGGAGGGGGGCAAGGACGCTGCGGCATGTTCTGCCGGGGGCTGTGGGGGGGAACCTCCCGGCCCTGCGGAAGAGGCTGCCCCGTCCAGAGCCCCAGCTCTCCCCAGCCTGGAGCCCCAGCCACATCACCGGTTCCCTTGTGGCAGCCGCAGCACCCAGGCAGAGCTGTTGCTGGGTTCAAGCTGCAGACTCGCCGGAGGGAGCCGGGGCTGGCTCACGCGGCGTCTCACCCGGGTGTGGCACCATCGCAACTCCTGTTGCTCTCGAGGCGGCCCGGAACGGCGGCGAGGGGGCTTAATTTATACCACACGCGTTAGAACTCACATTAGCTCCACCCTTCAGGAGCCCTTCACGCCAGGCCCGGCACTCCCACCTTGCTCTCTGTTGGCCAACCATACGGAAGCGCTCCCCGCGACCGGCTGCCTGCATCCGAGAACACCGCGCGAGCCCATCCGCACCAGGAGAGCCCCGCTGGGAACGGCGTGCCGTCATCTTTGGAACAGGCTCTTCCCGCCCCTGTGCCATTTCAAGTGGGCTTGGCACCCACATGGCAACATTCCAGGCAGGAGACGGCTGGCAAGACGACGCACGCCTTTCTTCTAAGGAAATGATGCCTGCAGAAGGGGGACAGGCCCCCGAGAAGACCCCAAAGACACCTCTGCCCACTGAAGTTTTTTCCGTTTTGCTGATGGGCAAGAAAGCGAGATGGGAGTGTTCTCCAGCGGCAGGAAACTGCCAGCCAGTGCAGTAACTTCAACAGCTGACCAGCCCGGCTCCCCAGGCAGCTCCCAGCAGAACGCCAGCTGGGCGGGAAGCACAGCGCGTCTGCAGTGAGCCCCAAAGGCCATGGGCGGGCACCCCATTACCGGGGCCAGGGCAGGGGCCCGGCTCCCCTGCAACTGCCGCATAACAGCCCCACTGGTTTCGCCTTCCGGACTGCCCCGTAGCTGCAGCCCAGTTTGTGCTGGGGGGGCACATGTAAGAAAGCAGTGGCCACAATCCAGTCAAGTTTAAGCCCTGTGTAACCTGGGGTCACATATCTTTACTCGGAGGGAAGTCACGGGATTGCTGTGGCAAGTTCCCACTGATCTCGGAGAGGATGGTTAAGCATACTCGTTAACGCATCCCGAGAGATCGATGAGACTTTAAAAGTGTTGCAACTTTGACTGGATCATGTTGGTTTTGCTTTTTAAAGCTGCTCTTACTTTCTCTGTGGGTTCCTTCCTTGGTAAGCGGGAAGCTCTTTCCTGGGGGGATGCCTAATTTATTAGATTACTGCTTGGGTCTCTCTTGGCCCGAAAGGCCTGCGGAGGGCTTTGTCTTTCGAGCGCGTGTGTGCATCTGCATCCAAAATGGGAGCAAAATGGCAGAGCCCTAATTTGCAGGCCTGTGAGAGCATCGAGGGGCCAAAATCCGCTCACACACTGCAGGGCGCATGCTTGGCCACTTGTGCCTTAGTGACGCCACCAAGACAGGCGCACGAAGAGGTCAGTTCGCTATGGGGCCAGCAGGGTTACCCCATGCCGATAATACCAGCAACCAGCAGAAAAGGGGTAGGAGAAAGCAGTGAGGGGGCCCAGCATCCACAGTGTGGCGGGGATGCTGGGCTTGACCTCTTGGCTTGCGTGGAATACACTCTGGGGCATTTGCAGGGAAAAGGGACAAATTCGTGGTTGGACCTTCCCTGTACCTTGCAGACTGGTGACCCGGTGCCACATCCGTACCCTGTGGGCGCTGTCAGTCACACTTTGCATAGGAAAACAAACACTCACAGGAATCGGCTCAGCGGCAGCTGGGTTTGCAGATTTCCATTTTCTTTCCCCTGGATGCTCAAGGCTGAAACGAAAAGCTGCGTCCTCAGCTGACTCCGTCAGGTTGCGGCATCGAGAAACAGGCGGACTCTTCCCATTTACTCCCAGGGAAACTCGAGATGAGCACGGATCCCTGGATCTTGTCATGCAGGAGTTCCCAGTTACATCACACAGGCAACATCTTTTAGTGCTAGGCAACAATCACAAGTGAACGTACTTCCGGCGAGCGGGCGTTCGAGCCCATGGGTTGGCATGGATCCTCCGGCTCAGGTCATGTGTTAGGCAGGTAAAGTAAAGTTAAGAGAGTGGGGACAGACAAAGGGTTTCTTTTGGAAGCGTCCTTTAGAGTCCGTTGTTCTTCGGGCTATTGCGTAAGTTTTTCAGTTCCAGTTGTAGCTGTCGGATTTTGATGTCTTTCTGTGAAAGCTCGCCCTTCAGCCGCCGGATCTCGTCCTGTTGTCGGAAGAACATCCGGAGGAGCTGAGGGGGGTTGGGAGGAGAGAGGGAGAGTCAATGGGATTGCTTTTTGCACAGATCTGGAACTGCCTTCCCCAGTCTGGTGCCCTCTGGTGGTTTGGTCCATCTCCCAAAATTCCTGAACATCTGTCATGCTGGCTGGGGCTAATGGGAACCGATGCCCAAAACATCTGGGAAGCGCTCGGTTGAGGAGGAAGTTAGAGGGCTTGGGCTCCTGCTTGGAACACCCTGATATTTATGGTGTTCTCTTCTACACATGGTTCCTATGTCACTTCGGAGCCTTTGTTCTGTTCTATTTCACTTCACTTCTTTTAATTTTATTTGTGAAAGTGGAGGCTTCAGTCGGAAAGAGGGGGGGCCAGCTGGGGATGAGAGGTCCCGATCCCCTCTCTTGGCCCAACAAGTCCATGAAGCTCAAAATCAGGATGGCTACGAAGAGGGAAACGGAGGCACTTAAAGTACCACCTTCCGAGAGTAGAGGTAAGGGCTGCAGAAGCCTTACCTCGTTCTCTGTTCGAGGAGGAACATTTTCCAAGAGGTCTATCCCATTCACAACAAGACTCTTTTTCTCTCGGATGGGTGCCTTGAAAACTACTTTGGATGCTTTCTTGTAGCCTTCCTTCAAGGACATCAGAATGGGATCTGGCAAAACGGGACAAGGCATGCAAATAGATATGCTTGGCCTAAAGAGGCCAAAACTAGCCCAGCCAGGAAAGCCCCCCAACAGCCGGCCCTGCACGGGCGCAGCGCCCATATGTTTGAATGTACAGGTGACCCCCCCCCCCAGAGAACGACAGGTGCACGTAAGCAGCCAGACTTTAAATGGAGGAAGCGGATGCGTCTTGCGAACATGAACAGTGGAGGACTTTGGTTCTGCTGGTCGGCACAGGTTGGCGGGGCGTCGTTGCATGGACCTGTGGATCACCTGCAACAGCAGAAGGGTGCGTGGCCTCTGCCCCCAGCCCCGAAGGCCACAGGGGGCTGGGCCTGTGTGCTCTTTTGCCACAGACTGGGGCCCACCCTACGCTCCTGCAGGGCGGCGGTGCCTTCCTCCGCTCCCCCAAGGCACCCCCATGCTTGCTCCAGGGGGAACTCTCAGCCTGTGGAGCTGCTGCTGGTACGGAAAGAGCTGCAGTGGACGCGGGGGGGGGGGGGGCAGAAGCCCCCAGGCCTCTGGGACTTGCTATCAAAGGTGGTGGACTTGTGAAATAACAAAAAAAAAAAAAAAAGGATATATGTGAAAATGCAGAAAATCTTTAAAATTAAGTTTCCCATGAGCCCCAAGAATATGCTTTGGAACAGAGTGCCAGAGGTCTTTTCAAAGAATATGTCAGAGTTATGTAAGTATATGACAACGGCAGTGAGGATCACAATCGCTTCTCAGTGGGAATCTTTGGAGGCCCCAACAACTGAAGAATGGAGAAATGGACGAGCCGAATACACTGTGATGGCAAAATTAACTATGTAAACCGAAGTCTGTTAGAAGAAATCAGTGATAAATGGAAACTCTACTATGCTCAGCCTGATTAATCGGATCTGAGGGGAGTTTGGAAAAGAGAAAAAATCTGTAGAGGATCTGAAGTGATTGGAAGAGTTGTTGCATCCAGAAACGATTTGTTTGTTAAACTCACGGAGTGTTGAAAGACAGGAAGACAGCTAGATTTGGGGAACTGAATTGGCTTAAAATTCCCTTTACAACTTTGTTCATTTTAACTTGCTTTGCTCACTATAGTTTGCTCTGCTTCACATTCTTTTTTATGTACTTGTCCATGTTAAAAACAATTTTTAAAATCCGGGCGGGGGGAAAGATGCCTCTGTGCCTCAGAGGGCTTTTGCAAAGTCGCGCCGGGGAATCCGGGCTGACCTCTGACTGACCAGGTGGCGTCTCTGGGCCAGAGGGCTGCCCCCTCCACTCACGGACCGCAGTCCCATTTCTGTCTCATTAGAGGAGACGTTGAGCCCCACCAACTCTTACCCCGGTCCATCCCGCTCAGCCACTCGTCCGGCGTCAGGGCGGGCTCCGTCCCAGGCGTCATGGGGTAGATGTCCTCTTGGTACGTCTCCGACTAGAATAGAGAAGGGCCTCCGTGAGTTGCGGGGTCCGTCCTGGCCCCTCTGGGGCATGTGTGGTCCCAAGTCCGAGCCCGGCTAATTCCGGGGGGCACATCGCAGCCCCTCCATCCCCCGCGTGGCACAAGCCCAGCCCGGAGCCAGACGCACCCCGAGCAGCCCCCGGGGGTGACCTGCACGGGGCCCAGCCTCACCCTTCTCGGCACAATCATGGAAATGGGCTCAATGAGCCCCTTCAGCGTGATGAGCTTGTAGAACCGGAACACCTCGCAGGCGGACACGTCCAGGCCGTGCTTTGGCATCACTCCTGCAATGGGACGAGGCAGGAAAAGCACCGTCGTGGTCGGCCCCCCGCGGCCGGGCAGCCCCGTCCCACAGCAGCCCCTTGCCCTCCCCCAGCTTGCCACTCTCCTCCCCAAGTTTGCACTTGTGCTTCGGGATGGCGTGGAGGGTCCCAACGGATGCCGCTTTTGCTGGTTCGGGTTCAGGAGGGGAAGCGGGGTATTTCGCTGGGGGCTGCCCTTGGGAGCCGGTGCGGGTGGGAGAGGATGTGGATGACGCTGGCCGGGCCAAGGGAGAGGGCCTTGCGGAGCGTGGGGACGGGGAGAGCTCTCAGACGGGGCCCCGCGCCCACGAGCGCTGGAGCACACGCTCTTGCGCAAGGGTTGCTCGGCCGGGGCCGACTGGCTGCTTTGTGCATGCTCAGAGGCTCAGCTGGCAGAGTTCCCGGGAGGAGCTGTGCTGGGGATACCGGGGCCGGGCCAGGCGGGGCCGCCTCTGTCCCTCTCGGGCTGCAACGGCTCCGCCGTGCCGGGAAGCGGGCCGGGCGCAGAGCAGCTGTGGGGAGCGGGCCCCGGGGCACGGCCGAGGCCTTACCGAGGCCTTTCTGCGGGGCTGGGGAGCGGAACTCCATCAGGTAAGTGAGGTAGGGCTTCTCGGTGCTGATTTCGTAGTATCGGATGTTCCCGTCTCCCTGGGGAGAGACAGAGAGCGAGAGGGCCTCAGCGCGTGGTGCGTGAGCAGCACGGAAGGGCAGGCCCAGGCCGTCTGCATTCGGGGATGCGCTTCTGATCACTTACAGCCATTTCACCGGCGTCCGTTTTCATCTGGTTTCCACTTAACTACAGAACCGAGGCTGAGGACTAGCGCCTTGGCCAAACCTCGCACAGTGGTCAGCACTGGGTGGCTAGGCCTTCAGCTATTGGAAAGAAGGGGCCCCATATGAGGGCTGCCAGAGGAAAGGCAGGGTGACCAGGTCCTTCACACTTCCTCACAGATACAAGTCTTATTATTTCCGTAACATTTCTTGCATGCCCAAGATTAAGGAGTGAGCACAGATTTATTATTGTTATTGTTGCTATTCTTCATGTTTTATTTCTGTGCTGCCCCATGGCTGAGCATTTTACGACACTCCATTGAAAAAATTAAATGCAATCCAAGTGCCCCGAAATCAAAGCAGCATGAATGTGTTTGCAGGAGCCGTCCGGACTGTCCCCGCCATGGTTTGTGGCGATGTCACTGCCTCCCCGCCTCACCGCCAGCGCTCCGGTGTCAGGCGCAAGCGCAGGCGCACCCACCTTGCCTGCCAGGTACACCATGTGCGTATCCGCGTCATAGAAGGGGAACAGGAGCCCCGAGAGGCCGTCGATCTCCTCTTCAATTAAGGGCATGGCCAGGTCTTCCTATGGAAATGCGGATAAATCAATCCATGCCTAGCAACATTTCAGTTCAATTCTGCAGGGATGGGATTTCAGCTGCGAAGGGGGCACCCGCCAAAATGCCCGGGTGGGGGCTCGGGCTGAGCATCCCTTCCCACACAGAGGGGCAGTTCCTGACCTGATCCCAGAGGGCGATCTGCCGCGTGTTCCAGCGTGAGACGCCCGTGGTCAGGAGACGCTTCATGTTCCCCAGGTAGACGACCCGGTTGACCCGATGGTTCTTGCAGCTGGCCTCCTGCAAGACAGCCGAGAGTCGGCGGCTGAGCGGCCTCCACCCCCCCTGCAAACTGATTTAGAGACGCCGCGAAGGCCACGTCCTTCCAGGGAGGCTGCTCACAATCCCCAGACTGTAAAGCCATCTCACCCCTGACAGCTTCTGATGAATAAAAGATTAAAGTCACGGATAAACGCCCAGCAGCAGGTGGCCACTTTCTCTCCCGCTTGAACTTTTGCTTAACTCAAGGTTGCTTTTATTCACTGGCATTTGCGGAAAAAAATCTCGCCGAGCTAACAAGGTTTGGGAGAACCCTTTTCCGCGAGCACGCCTTTCGCAGGAACTTGCTTATCAAAGGAGTACCTACAGAAGCGTCGTCCGGAGAAGGACTTGCCTGGTGCAGGACCCAAGCTGGGTTGCAGAGCTCCATTTCACTGGCACGACGACAGTCTTGCACGGTAGGTCAGGCTGAGAGTGAGGGACTGGCCCGAATCATCCAGGGGGCTTAGAGCCCCATGGGGTCTCCAGTTCCCCAGTCCAGCAGTCCAGCCGCCATGCCATGCTGGCACCCCCAAATATAGATTTATGGATGTACATGGATTCATTATGGGTTAATAAATGCATAACCCGCTGGCTGACTTGATTCGTGCCCATCTCCCGAGCGAAAAAGGCACTTGAGGCAGGTCACAATCACAAACAACACTCTGATACGCTAATAATAAAAGCAGAAATGTGTGACGCAGAATAAAAGCTGCATCGAACCCAATAGCAAAAGCTCCTGTATTTTTACTGTCTATTATTCCTATTTATTGCTATTGTTCATGGATTGTTTTGATTGTTTTCCTATTTTAATGTTGTAAGCTTTCCTGAGACATTGTTGTAAAGGACGGCATATAAATGTTTTAAATAAATAAATAAATAAATGGGAAGGTCGTGGGCTACTGGCGGAAGGACTGCAGGGAGACGCAGCCAGCACCCCCAGCCTGTCTTGCCCCTCCAGAAGTGCTCTCAGAAAAAAGGGGCTCATTTGGGTAGAGAAAACAGTCTAGAGAAAAGCCATTTAAAGCCCCCTTCCCACGCCTGACCGGACATGGGCACAACTTCTGCTCGAACGTGTATAATGCACAGCCAGGCGTTTGGAGGGCGAACTCCCAGCACTGCGTCTGCCTGGGCCCTTGCAATCGTCTCCCACCTGGAGGACTTTGCCCGAACGCGGCTCGATGACGCGGAGCTTCTTGTCCTTGCACGTGGTGCAGAATCGGCTCCCGTCTGTGTTGAAGGACATGCAAAGGATGACGTCAGAGTGGCAGTCGATCATCTTCACTGGCTCACCGATATCCAGGTTCCAGATGAGGACCTAAGACAGGAAGTGCACCACCTCTTGGTCACCAAAAGCACACTTGCTTTTGCCCTGCACTTCCTCAGAAGACCAACAGGCAGCGCCGTTGTGCTCCTCTTCCAAAAAGCTCTTCCAAAGCCTGGGTGCCATGACCAAGAAGGCACCGCTCCTCCCAGCAGCGACATGAGCCCTGCTGAAAGAGGGCATTTGGAGCCGAGCCAGCCAGGACTGGGCATCCTCTGAGGGAGGCTTTGAGGGCTGTGCAAATGGGGAAGGCCTTCCCAGTGGGAACAGTCTGTGTGCCCAGCAGAGATGGCTGGGCAGAGTGCTTCAGCCCAAGGGCCGAGCTGGGATACTGCAGCTGCAGGCCAGCAGAGGGTGAGGCACTGCCCACTCACCCCCGTGAATCCCAGGCCCCAAGATGCTTCGGCCGGGGCCCCGAGGCCTGCTCCCGAGGGCGTCGAGCAATGCAGGAGCTCACCTTGTAGTCATACCCAGCGCTGAACAGGATGTTGGTGGTGGTCGGATGCCACTCTACAAGACCGACCCGCCGGCTGTGCCCATACAGCTCCAGGACCGCGTCCACCATGTTGCTCTTCAAGCCTCCCTCGGGGATTTCCCATATCCGCACCTGGGGGGGCAGGAGGGCAAAGGGCATGGTCTGCGTGGCCCCCTCCAGGGCGACGGGGCTCCTCCCCGAAAAAGGCTGGGTGCACTCGGTAACTGAGCCTTCAGAGTGCGCCAGGGCCTTCGGCTGGTTTTGCCGCAGCTTTGTGGGGAACAGACTCTCCCAGCTAAAGGGAAGTGCCACGCTGCAGCCTCGCAGCGCTTGTGCTCTCCTCACGAGGAAGCATTCCACTTACAGACGTGTCCTCTGAGCAGGATGCGATGATGTTTTCAATGAAAGGGTTCCACTTAATATCAAGCACGTTGCCCTGGTGACCACAAACTTTGGGGTAGTTCGGCTCAATCCGTCCAGTCTGTGAAAGCAAACCAAGAAACACGATTCAGCTTTTTAGTAATAAAACTCTCCAGTTTGGATTTTCTGCTGCTGCTGCTCCTGACCAGGGAACCCCTGGAAATCAAGACAGCCCTGCAAGTCCTCCATTTGGAAGTGCCTTTTTATCTGTGGAAGTCAGGACATTCTGTCTTAAGATCATCTGTTTTGGAAGGTCATGTCACAACTGCTCCCTCGCCCACCCATCTGTGGGGGGCTTTATTCCCCAAACTCTGAGAGGGCTTCTGAGGAAGCCTGTTCGAAGCCGTGGGCATGCGAAACCGCCGTGGCCTGATGGGAAGGCACCACTCAGGGCTGTGTTGGGGAATGTTGCAATGCTATTTTTGCACAAAATACGTGCAGCCCAGCTGAAGCTCCCTGGGCAGTTCCCCACAACTGAGACCATCCAGCGTAATGCAAGATACATTGCAAAAATGCAGAATTCGCAAGATACTATGGTGTAAAAGGCATTTTAAGATTGGGTCGTCTGAGTAAGGGCAGAATCACTCCCTCAGCTGGGAATGGCACATTTCCAAACAAAAGTGAAAAGAAACCCAAGCCTGAGTCTAACAATGCAAGAAAATGGGAATGGGGAAGGGGAAAAGAAAGAAAGTTTAATCCTTATTGAACTGGGTTATTCTCCTGCGTGTTAGTACATTTTACAGGGCAGAGGTGTTTTCATGGAGAGGTTATACAAGACTGGAGCCAGCAGGGGGTGCCAGCGGGCGCCCCGGTGTCCCTCTGGTGGGCAGCCCCAGTGCCTGTTAGAACCAACCCCTCCCCTGCATTAAGCCCCTTTCTCTTTTCTCTCTTTCTGGATTAGTGGCTGCCTGCTTTTTCCAGGGGAAAATCCACCTGCCCACCCAGGGCTACGCGGCCTTAGCCACGTGGGCGTGCCCAGCTCCGTTTTCCCCAGCGCAGCTTCTATGCAAACTTTAGGAGAAGTTATTTCAACGGGGTAGTGATTGTGAGCAGTAGGTGGGCTGCAATATCCATAAGCTGACGAGGAACCTGTGACAGAGCCCTGCCTGCAGGCACACAGCTGAATGCGGCATGGCGATCTCGCCAGGGCCAGGGCCGAGCTCGCCCTGCAGCGGCCGCCCCACTGCAGCATCCACAAAAGAGCCCAGGGCCGTGCCGCCGCTCTGCTGCAGCTGCTTCAACGCAGGCACACCCTTCTCTCAAGCAAGGCCAAGGGATCCCACATGTCCTGGTCCCATGCAAAGCAAAAAGGGCGGAGTTCACCAGTGATGCTAGAATGGCATGAAGGAAACAGGGCAAGGGTGACTCCTGTGCAGAACGTGATGCAGGATTCCATGTGATCCCAGGGCAAAAAGCTGGTTTCCGGCTTGGCTTGTGGAAGGAAAAAGACCGTGCCCGCAGCCGACCTCACCAGAGTCACAAACACACCGGACCATCAACACTGCACCCGTGGAGGCCAGAGGTCCGCGGCTTTCCCTGCCTCCGTTCTCCTTGTCGCTCCCCTCCTTTATGAGATACTTCTTTCTTCAGAAATATCTCACCAGTGGAAGCAGAATTAGAGAAAACCAACCACACGCATTGAAGTACACAGAACTGGCTGGATTCTGGCTGAACAATGTCGATTATATTTGCACAAAACCGCAACCTCTTTCCTGCTGAGCCACAGGGAGCTTCTAAAGCTTACTAGCAAGTTGCAGTGTATAAAGCACCAGTGTCACGCAGTCCCAGGGATGTCATGTTAACCCCCCGTTTCCTGCTCTGTCAAGGTCACAGTGAAGCTGCAAAAGCGGAGGCCTCCTGCTCCTTCCAGGCTCGTGTCACCCAAAGAAAGGCCCTTGCGACACATCCAGCCCTCCTCCCACGGATCACACGCTCGGGTGCAGCAGACACCACCGAACATGAGCTGCACCTAAATCCGGCCTCGCCGGGCCCTTTCTCCTCATCCAGGTGACCACAGGATCCCAGCACAGCTCTGAGCGCTTCTGGCCACGTTTCTACCAGGAGCAGCAACATGGACGAGAACAACTGGAGGACGGAATAGCAGCGGAGTCCCCCCCGCACTGCACGCGTGCCCCTCTTGCGCGGTGGGTGTTTTACTGCCTGCGCTGGGCACCTGCATTCCAAGGCACGGCCCACATCCGCCTCCCCCAGCCTGGTGGCTTTCCGAGGCCTTGCCTGTTCACCTCGGCTGGCAGCTGTGGAGGAATGTGCCCGGCCAGGTGCCCATTGCTCTGAAGCTGCGCCTGGACCTGTAGAGCTGCCAGTTGCTGACACTATCTTCACACAATCCCGCGTCTTCCACGCAACCCAGTAGCCCCGTGGTCCCCGAGCACGCGTGAACGTCCCGTCGGCCTTACTGTGCAATCCCAAACTCAGCATCCACGAAGTTCCAGGAAGAAAGCAAGCCAGAGGTTCATTTGCTTGCCTTCTAAGAAAAGATGATCATAATTATTCCTAGTTATTGACATATTTTGCATATGTAAATGAGCCCCAGATCTTCCGCAGTGAGTTCTGAGACTACCCAGCCGGGGTCAGAAAAACGTTTCTTCTGCAAACCTAAAAACGCCAGACAGCCACTGAAATTCTTGCTGGCAATGAGGAAGCCGCTGCTCGGGGGGTGCGCAGACCTCCTTCCTCAGCCCGCCCGGAGGAATCGCTCTGGATTCTTCTGCAACAAGAGCTTCCATTGTGCACGTGGTGCGGAGCCAGCGGGAGGATGTGTCCCGACCCGCTCACCCTGGAGACATGGCTGTCTTCGGTTCTCCCAGGAGAAGCCTTTTCGCACTTCCGGCTTCTCGGAAGGGGGGCTGCGCCACGGGCCTTGCCGGGCTGGGTCCACCACGCGTGCTCATGCAGCTCCAGGAACGCTTGGTGAGACTCGGAGGGGTTTCAAAGATGCGAATGGCTCCATCTTAGCAGGGCTCAGCCAGAGTCTCTCCAGACCCCCTGCAGGGACTCAGACCTCTTTGCCTGAGCCAGGCTTTCAAGCCCTCGTGAAGCGGCACTCCTGGGGGGACATCAAAAGTCGGGGTGTGGTGCAGGCCCTTCTTACCCTTCTTTGATTAAGCTCCAGTCTAATTTCAGGGGAGAAACAGGCAGAGGGGAGAGACCGGAAAATGTTTGCGATGAACATTTGCTTGCTTATTAGATCTGCATGCCACCTGAGTGCCACTACTTCACAGGGCTGTTGTCGGGGGGGAGGGGAATAAGATAATGAGCACCCGGAGGAGAATGATATAAGCTGCTCTGAGTTTGTAAGAAAGAGGGGGAATATAAATCGAATTAACAGATAACTACCACCTGACCTGCGAATGGCTCAGGTGTTTTACAGTTCACAGTCGTCAAAGCAAGCAATCAGAGGTGCAGCATATCCAAACGTCTATAAAATACCAACAACAACAGACTCAGGCATCAGAAACAGTTTAAACATTTGAGAAACCAGCAGTCAGCCTGAAGGCTAAATGCCTGTTTAGGCGGAAGGCTTTGCATCCTGTGCCGGGTTTCCACCGGCCTCCCGCTGCTTCGCAGCCCTGGGCCGCGGCACGCAGGAGCCACCCCGTCAGCGGCGCCGCTGCCTGGGCCTCGAGGGCGGCCCCGGCGCTGCCCACACGCCCGGCCTCGGCACCCCGGCGGCCCCGGCGGTGCTCCAGCAGCGGGCCGCCCCGGGCAGCGCTCTGGAAGCGGCCCCCTGCCCCAGCGGCAGCCCCACCGGGCCCCCCGGCCGAGCGGGTCGCGCGGAACCGCCCGGCGGAGCTTCTCCCAGAGGATTCGCAACTTCTTGTCCTTCTCCCAGGAAGCAGGTCCTGCGCGCATCTCGGCTCCCCTCACAAGCGGGAGCGGCGGCGGCTGAGGCGAGCCTGGCGACCTGGCTCCTGGGGCAGCGGCCCGGAGAGGCGGGGAGCCGCCGGGCCGGGCCGGGCCGGGCCGGGCCGGGCAGCTGTGCGGGGCCCCCCTCTGCCCGGCGCCAAGCGGAGCCCCCAGCCCCGAGGCGCCGCAGTGCAGGCGAGGCTTCCGGCCGCGCCCCACGCCCGCCGCGGCCTCATCCGAGCCCGGCACTGGCGGGAGGAGCCAGGCGGCCTGCGCCGCCGAGCCCAGCAGGGGGCAGCACCTTCCTGCGGATGGCGAGCCGAGCGGTCGCGGCGGCGTGGCCCAGCCTCGGCGACGGGCCCCTCTTGGCCGGGCGAGCGGCGGGAGAAGAGCGGGCCCGGCCCGGCCCGGCCCGGCCCGGCCCGGCCCGGCCGGGGCCTCGAGCACAGCGCTTTCCGCCCTTCAACAGGAAGGCGCAGGAGCGGCCCGGGGAGAAGGCGTGCGCTGCTGTCGTGCAGGAGCCAAGGTTTGCACTCTCCTTCCCAAAGGCGGCCTTGCTGGAAGCCCGCCTCGTCATTCTGCATCTCAGAGTTGCCATGGATACAGCGGGCAGGCCGGCTGGTCCCGGCACCGCCTGGCACGGGCACGGAGGCCCTCGCCAAGCGGCGGCCCCTCGGCTCCCTCGATGCCGCGAGGACGGGGCGTCCGCCGCGCTGGCAGGGAGCGTCGTCGCTGGTCCGCCGCCGTTCTCCTTGCACGCCGCTACCCAGGTCGTCTGAGGCGGCGACCGCGAGCGCGTCCCCCCGCGCGGCGTCTGCCGAACACCGCCGGGAAAAGCAGCGGTGCGCCACCCATTCTCCTGGGGCAGACAGGACAAGCGGGTTCTGCGAGGCCAGGCGAATGGCCTTTGCCCCACCACGCGGGGACTAGAGGGGGCGGTTGGGGCCGAGCCGAGCGGGGCAGCTCTCCCTCTCAGCTTCCCCCCCTGACTGTCACAGCTTGTTGGAGCGGCACTCCTTTGCCCACGCCACAGCAATGTTGCGAGAGGTTGCCCTCCGTCCCCTGCTCCGGCCGGCTCCCCTCTGTAGCACAAGCCCCAGTCTCGCAAAAGGGTGCTGTGCTTCCAAGGGATGTCCCGGCACGGCAGGGCATCCAACGGCATCCCTCCCGGGCAATCCTGGCTGCAGCGCTGTGGCATCCGCACACCTATTTTAAAAATGGCTCTGTTTGCCTTTGTATTGTGCAATAGCATACAGAAAAGGGGCTTGCGCTGTCTCAAGCCCTCAGTCTTTTCATTAGTGTCAGAAATGATGATGATGATGATAATTATAATTCCTTCTGGCTGTAAGACCTTTGAAGCAATGCATAACACAAACATCAAGCAGCAAAACCAAAGGGCACAGCATTTTAGGGCAAGTGGATGGGACCAAACTGTTCCGAAAGTGGCTTGCTCAGGGTGGCCCCTTCCCCTCTCCCACTGGTGCAGGGGGAAAAGAGCGGGCTCCCCACACACAAGCCTGTTTTGCTCCCACGCCGTCCCTGCTGAGTGGTGAGTGAATCGCAGCCCCACCCAGGTGAGGAGGGCCCTTCCTGGTTCGCAGGTTGCACCCTGCAGGCCGCCTGGGGCCCGGACACCGCCGAGACCCCCAACCGCTCCCTGGTCTGTTTCTTCTAACCTGTGCTCTTTCAGACACAACTGCGGGGGACAGCTGTGCTTAGCAACTCGGGGCACACCTGTCACAGCGAAAGGCATCCTTCTCATCTCCAGCATTGCTCTGGTAGCCAGAGGGGGTGGGGGGAACATTGGACGACGGAACACGAAGCAGTCTGCACGAAGCTGCAATGAAGTCACGGAACATTCTGGAAGGAGGCGTGTGGCTGCACGCGTCATTCCGAATTTTATGAAGCCAGAATGTTGCCTGACTGAGCTTGGCTGTGTGTGTGATTCCATCTGGATGGGCTATTAATAGTGCTACCTACACACATTCAAGCAGGATGGAAGAGGATGAAGAGAGTATCCTGTGGATAACTGCATGTTCTGGAAGTCCTCCTCGATATCTCCAGGACTCCAAAAAGGCTTTGTGAATGCTAATTCCAAGATGAGGGCTTGCTAAATGATTAATAAATGCTTGATATCTGGAAAAATGGGTGTCTTGGAGAAGAGGCATTCAATATTTTGTTCATAGCCAGCTAGCGGGATGTTAAAGCTATTAGAGGATGCACGGTAACAATCCGAAATGCCTGCCTGCCACCCTAATTCCATAAGATCACCATGCCTCAAGCCAGCAACAGAGACCAGGTTTATACATAAAGGTCACCCATGATTGATTTTCCTACTGTGGGTTTGTCTGGCAGATGACAGAACAATCCATGATTTGCCTGTCCTCTGTATAGCCTGGTGAAGCAACCCATGAACAACCCACATGTCTGGATTCACATGAAATGACAAGGCACAGTTTAAACCTTGAATTTACAAGCCAACAACAAACCATGGGTACTTTGTCCGGGCTGTTTGTAGTTAACAAACCATGTCTGCACACCACAACCACCTGTAATTTAGCAGCTATGCCATGGGTTAATATTATGTGTGAACCCAGGCCATGTCTAAACAAAGTGTCATCTCCGATGGCTCAGCTGGCCACAGATAAATGCTCCCTGTCAGCCCTTCAAGGCACGGCCAGATCTGTAAAGAAGCAAGCATAAAGGAAGGGTTGTCTTGCAACAAATTACTCAGTGACATCCTGGCTGCACTGGGCCTGTTTGGACCGTGTCGCCAGTGAGCAGCTCACAAGCCGTCTTAAAGAGGAGTCACAAACCCAAAACACCACACACGATGGCCGCGACTCTTGGAACCAGACCCTGCCTTGTGCCAAAGGGACAAACGCGGCGTCAGTGATTGGTTATGTCCAAGTTTTAACGTAGCAATGAAAGCTCTGCGATAATTGGACCCTTTGTGTTTTCCTGCCCATGCAGAGCTGTGTCCTCCCTCTCTCCATTCCAAACAGCGAGGGACCCACACCGGGGCTGCACAAGCAGCTGCTTTTATCAACACAGCCCTCGGTGTTATCACAAGGATCCCGTCTGCAGGCACAGGCCAGGGGGCTCCCACCCACGGAAAATACTCTTCGCTTGCATTCTGTGCAGGCATGGAACCAGTTTGCATGACACCCGGGAGCTTCTGGGACTTTCTGGGACTCACGCCCTTAGCAGAAAAACCTTCCTGCATGACCCCAAACTCGCCCTGCAGAGCTCCTTCCAGGCATGTGCAAGCAGCACGGGAGGAAACGTGCCCAGGAGGCAACCTTGCCTTGGCTACCCTGAATTCTACGACGACGTCGGGATCTAGACGGGCACCTGGGCACCGAGAACTTCGGTCATTTAACAACCCCACACTAACCACATCCCTTTTCAGTCACTGCCAGGGATTGCCAGCTAATTTTAGCAGCACATGCCCTCGTCTTTTGTCACTGAGTTTTGGCAACATGGTGGGAGGAATGGCCCTCCCCGAAAATGTATTTTGCCATCTTTGCTTGTGATCGGGTGAAACGTAATTCTTAGTCTCTAATTTTGTGCTTCGGATACAAGCATGAGCTCTGCTTTTATCCTTGTAAAAAATATCCAGCCTGTGCTTTATTTGTTGTTCCAGGGGCTAATGACCATGTTTCAGTGAAGAGGCGAAGCCCATCATGTGGCACAGCTATAACCCGGGCTGTGGGTTACCGAGTGGCACCTCCCTAATGGTTTGATTGGGGGTACCTATTGCTGGTGCTTTTACCAACGCTGTTCTGCATTGCATCCTGATTTTTGCTGTTAACCATTTAAAACTGCTTAAAAACTCTGCATTATGGAAAACTGGATGATTTGTTGACTTGACCTCCTTAAGAACTCTTGTAACCTACCTGGAGAACTTTCCCTATGGTGCAGCAGAGAAGCCAAACAAGCAAACAAACAAAACCACAAGGTATCCAGAATGAGACCAAGAAGGAAAATTCTGCTGCCTCAGATCTCTTCACTCCACTTCTCCGGAGCAACTCAGACCAGAGAGAATACAACCCACATTACCCATCGCTAATTTTCACTCAGATTTGTCCCTCCCAAAAGACCCTAGTTAGAACCTGAGAGCTGAAATATCAATCTTGGCAAACCACCTGCCTGCATACACCTTCCAGGTGCACCTTATCGCACCCGGCTTCTTTGCACCGGCTCCAGCAGGGTGTGCTCGGGCCACATGTGCGCGTACCAAGTGCATTCCCACATGATGGCAACCAGTGTGAGGAACTTGAGTTGAGCAACTCA